AAACCTCCCAAATTGGGTCAGACACCCCCATGGTTTGCATCATATTTTCTAATTTCTTTGTCTTTTCTTCTTTTTATTTTAATTGTTGTTTTGTTTTATTTAATTCACAAAAATAATTTTCATAATAAATACAGAAAAATACAAAAAAAAGTGTTTTATTGTTATTAACATTAATTTAATTCATTAATATTTTTGTAAATAAATCTTTAAACCATTAATTTAGTAAAATTAGGTTTTCAATTTTAATCTTTTCTTAAATAGCTAAAATACATAGAAATTAGGGTTTTTAGCATTTTTATCTTTTCTTTTAATAAATATTTTTTTTTCTTATTATCATTATTATTAATTATTAATTTATTTTGTAAATAAACATGTAATTAATTAATTAGTGTAAATTAGGTTAAAACTTGAATATTTTTCTTTAACAATTAAAAATAACTTAGAACTAGGGTTTTATTTAACTTCTAATTTTAATTAATTTTCTTTATTTCATAAAAAACCAAAAAAACCAAAAACAATTTCTCTTCTTTATTAAATAATTAATTTTTTAATTTCATTTAATTTCTTTAAAAGGGTCCAACGCCCTCGAACATTCGATTCTAGTTTCTCCCTGCGCATTTATTCTTATTTCTCTTTTGTGAATATTATGTAATTGCTCAAGCCTTGTAATAGTAATTAGGAAATTTATTTACTTTCCGCATTTTTATTCAAAATGGGTCTTTTGTTAATTTGGCGATGTATAGACCCGCGCCTTGTAATAGCGTAGGACTTTATTTTCCGCACTTTAATTTCCGCACCCCTTAACTGCTAAACTTTGCATGAAAGAATGAATGGCCCAAATAAAATCAAAGCGTAGCTCACCAAATGCATGACAATATAAAACATAACTGAAAATAATACACAAATTCACACACCACTCTTAGGGTACGCCTCACTGTTGCCTTGCCCCTCGAAACGTGGTCGTCGAGTATAGGACGTTTTAGTAAGTCCTTATGTCCGTGATCTATGGCATAGGGGTAGCTTCTAAGGTGTCCTACTGTTGCTCTGGTGACCACACTGTCCCTACAAACTCGAATTGACCTGAATACCTCCAACGGTGGTGCTACCTACCTCTCAATGGTGGGATGGCACTACCTTAAGGACTTCTACACAGCTTAATTCCTTAGGGTAGGTAGATGACTCATAGATACTTGCTCTATTCAAAAACAAATCAAAACTCTTTTCACACCGACACTTTCAAAAAAGCTTTCAAAACAATTTTTCAAACACTCTTGAGGACAAATACAAGAGTTATTCAGAAATCTTTAAACGAAACTTTTTCAAACCCACTCACATTTTGAAAAGCAAACACTTTGAAAACACAATGAGCAAGTATCTAAGAGCCCATGGATAAGCATGGATAGAAAGGGTGCTAACACCTTCCCTTTCTATAAATCTACCTCCCGAACCGATAAACTATCTCATAAGGAATTTTGTTGTGCTTTTGTCCTTTCCATGTTGGAGAAAATAAAAGACGGTGGCGACTCTTGCTTACCGCGACATTTCGCGAACCAGCGTTAAACAGTCAGTTCCAGATCCACCGATCACAACATCTAAATAACTGACATGTACCACTACTGGTTTTTCTATTCTTTTTCATACCACAAAATCGGAATTAGAAAAATTGTCTAAGGTAGATGTGATACCTTTAGGATACCAAAGATCATGTTAAGAGGTTCCATTAAGATACCTCAAAATAAGTTTTATGATCTTCAAGTGGGATTCCTGATGTGATGCTTGATATCTAGTACACATGCACTCACTAAACATGATATACGACTTGCTCGCCATTAAATAGAGAACTATATGATTATACCTCTATACTTGGTTATGTCAGAGTCCACTCATTTCTCGTCTTTGTCAATTAGCACATTCGATGCCATAGGTATTGAGATACTTCTCGAATATTTCATATCAAACTTCTTGAAAATCTCTAACAAGTATTTTGTTTGACTTATGAAAGTCCCTTATTTGTCTTGCTTGATTTTCAATCCTAAGAAATACTTCAGCTCTCCCATAAAAGACATCTCAATTTCTCCCTGCATAAAACTTTCAAACTCTCGACAAAGAGATTCATTAGTAGAACCCAAAACAATATCATCCATATATATTTGAACTAAAAATAAAAGCTTTGATTTGCGCCTAATAAACAAAGTTGTATCTACTTTACCACGATCCAATCCCTATTTGATAAAAATTCACTGAATCGCTCATACCAAGCTCTAATAACTTGTTTGAGACCATAGAGGGCTTTTTTCAATTTAAAAACATGGTTAGGATTCTCGTGATACTCAAAACCCGAGGGATGTGAGACATAGACCTCTTTGCTAATGTAGCCATTAAGAAAAACATATTTAACATCCATTTGATAAAGATTAAAATACAGGCAACAAGCGAATGCCAAAAAGAGTCTAATATCTTCTAGACGAGCTATAGGAGAATAAGTTTCCTTGTAGTATATTCATTCAACTTGACTATATCCTTTTGCCACTAATCTTTCTTTATTTCTAGTAATTACATCATTTTCATCTGTCTTGTTAATTAATACTCATTTAGTTCCAATGATAGTTTTATTAACTGGAAGCAAGATAAGGTCCCAAATGTCGTTATGTTTAAATTGGATAAGTTCTTCTTGCATAACAAGTAGCCATCCCTCATCAAGTAAGGCATCAGATATCGATCTAGGCTCAATCTGAGAAATGAAATTAGAGTACTTACAAAAATTATTAACAAATGATCTAGTACTTATACCTCTTTTGATATCTCCCAGAATTTGATTTAAGAGGTGATATTTTGCGATTATCTAATCTTAAGGCAGCTGGTTCGAGGTCTCTTATTTATCATCCTTATGTAAGTTATCCTCTTTATCGTCATTAATGTCTTCATTCTTTGATAAAGGAGTAGTATCCTCTTTGGGAATTTTGTCGTTGATAAAGTTCTCCGTTATCACACCTGAAATATCATAACAAATAATTTTTGATCGGAAAAAATAGCAAGTGTATATTTTCACCAATGTAGTAATAATGATATTTTCCCAAAGTATTGATCTCAAGGACTACTTAGGAAATACTGAGTTTTATTATTAATTCAATCAAACAAAAATAATAGTTTTGGGTTTAATTGGAACAAATCCTTGAGAAAGATTAAATGGTTGAATGTAAAATGTGACTTTTTCTGTTTGATTAAAAGATGCTAGGGGCGAGTGTATGATTTTCCATGACATAACCTTCACTTTTTGATCTTTTAAACAAGTTCATCAACCTCAATTACTGATTCTTGAGATTATCTTTTCCTAAGTCCTTAGTGAAAAACCTTTAACCTCCTACCCTAATTTCAATGTCCATTCAAATTCATTTTGAGGTTATGCATTCAAATATTAAGAATTATTCTGGTTATTGTAGGATCCTAGTCCTAGGTGAATCATATATAATATCATTATTTAGAAAATATTAACACGACCGTCCGGTTCTAATGTGTTAAAACAGTGAAACCCTATGGTCCCATAGGATAAAACTTTAAATTCTTATAAACAATCAAATTGATGCGTAAAAACTGTTATGTTCAATGAAACAAAGAGATTAGTATTCTTAACATAGCAAATCAGGGACACCCTATAGCATTGAGGGGTTTATCCTATCATAGAATTAAAAAGTAAAATAGCACATATATTAGATATAGACATTACAATAAGTTTGGAATATTTAATCTTCAATTGCTATCGCGCATGAAGAGTTCTCTGTTCCCAAAGCTCCTCTGGATCTCCAATCTTCTATCGTCAAATTCTTCAATTTTTCAAAAAGTCCTTTTTTCCTTATTAAAATTAGTTTTAAGTAGTCTAGTCCTTCCTAGGTGACACAAAAAGTCGAAAGTAGCCTCCAGGGTTCAAAAAAACACTAGGAATTCCAAAACTAAAAATTATCAGCGTCTGAGCTGACATGGGTGTAGCGGTAAAAATCAGAGATCAAGCTATTAATTAACTTGAATCACAAATAAGAAAGAGTCGCCACCACGCTTTATTATTTCTAAGGGAAAAGGGAAAAGTGCGAAATAAAACCCTTAAATATGCAATGTAAAGTAGTACTTAAAAGTAATGAAAATACAATGCGTTTTTCGAAAGAGATCTAGAGTTCGGGGGTTGGTTATACAATGAGAAGGTATTAGCACCCAATGCATCTGCAATACTCCGCAGGAACCTTTTGTAATATCTATTTTTTGGTTGAAAATTGTTTGTTGATTAAAAGTGGGTGTGAATGAGATTTTGAAGATATGACGACCTAGTGTCAAAGTTTTGACTTAAAAAGGGGTGTGAGTTTTAAAATTAGGGTTTAGAAGATTTTAACTTAAGATTAACTAAACTAAAAAAAGTATGAAGGGTTTCTCACAATCGTAAGATGTATTTGATGAAATGAGGTCAACAAATTTAAAACATTTCCCTTGGATTTAGCACAAGCAAGATACAAAGATTAAATAAACAAAAAAAGATTAAACAACTAACAATTAAATGATTGAATAATTTAACAAAACAAAAATGTATTAAATTAATTGAAATTACTTAATAAAATTTAGAAAGAATTAGTCAAATTGAATAACAATCGATTGTCTAATTAATTTATATTAACAATTAACAAGTGTAAAAAAATAAACTAAAACAAACAAAAGGAAATTAAATGTAAATAAGAACATGGACTGGAAGATATTAAACAAGGAGGTGTGTGAAAACATATTTTAGATCGACTGGGCTTAAAGAAATAAACTAGAAGGCCCAAGTTATGATAATAAGAGGATGATTAAACAAAAAAACTTTAAAAATATATAGATGGGCCTGACTGGGTTTGAGGGTCCGGACCTAACTCTAACTCTAGACCATCCGGGTTGTAAACCCTAAAAGCTTTCATGTCCAGCATATTATTGCAACAGAAAATTTCTTGACCCCCAAATCTCTTCTTCAGAAGCATCACGACTTACTCCAAGGTGTTGGAATGGATCCCAAACACTGACTCGGGGGAATTTTGGGACATTACCTCCATAAGGCACATCCACCACGCATCTAGTACGAAACGAAACATCAAAATTCGTTGTAGGCTTCTGCGTAATTTCCCAAATATGCAATTTCTTGGGGAGGAAAGCGGCATTGAAGATTGTTGGCTCAGGTTGAGTTTATGGTAGATGTTCTCTTCGCAAACGAGCATGACCGGTTCTGGTTTTTTCAAGAAGTGAAATAACACGTTTAAATTTGGAAACAGCAATATCAACAACGGCTTTGCAATCTCTTTCAATCTCCATAGAAGTGTTATTGTTGTTGCTGCTACGTTGGGGTTTGGAGGTGAAAAAGAAGAGGAATATGAAGAGTTTTGATACTTATGGTGTGCTTCAGAGAGTAATTGGATGAGTTTTTCAACACTTTCTAAGCCAGAAGCTGCTTCTTGGACAACATTTTGTTCGGTTTTGGAAGTGAAGGTTTTTGTTCATGTTTCCAACCGTAAATTCTTGCTTACGGAAACAACAACAACATATCAACAACAAAGAATATCTTATAACAGTTGTGGAATTCAAAAACAACAACTCTAAAGAACAAAAAGCAAGATTCGAATAAAGGGAAAACAAATTTACCGAATCAGAGCTCCTCCGAAGGGCCTTCAAATTCTCGGGTACAATTTCGACACTCTCTTTACTTTCTGAAAATCGATTCGGCTCGCTTGTTGTATATTACGATTCCATTTTCTGATGTTGTTGCATTTGTTGCAGATCGTAGACGTCGGCCTTGGGGAAGCACATGTTGTATAGGCTAACGACATTGTTGTTGCTATTTAGAGATGATTCTGGTGATTTCCGTCGGCAGTGTGTGGTAGGCATTTCTTCGCACGATGGAGAGTGACATGCATGGACAGAAGCATCCTCCGGTGGCGTCAGTTTAAATCTGATGATGTTCTATCTTCTTTTGTTGAGATTTTTTATTGTTTTGAACTTGTGTAGAACTGACTTGGTTGGGTTGTTTTGACAGGTTCATGATACTTGGTAATCTCGGTTTTGAGTTGAACATGTTCTTACAAGTTACAAGGGTTTTGTCGGTGAAATGGACTGGGATGGATTATTGTGTGATGTTAATGGTTGTGGCATTGTGACGTTAAAATGGTGTCTGGTGATTGGTAGATTTTTGTAATTTTCATGGCTTTTGGTCGAGAGGATCAAGGATTTTGTGCACTATTTGGTTCCCTCCGGATTTGTATGAAAGTATCATCGCATTTATCAATTCATTAGTTATGTTTAAAAGAAGGTTTTTGAACTGTTTTAGCTAACTATTTCAATGATTTTTGCTGCATCTTTTGTTTTTCCATTTTAATACAATCTCTGGTTGTTTGTGAACTGGTTTTGATGCAGGTTTGGGAAAGCATCAACACAGCAGTAGCTGCAGGTTTTGGACTATTGGAGCAGGTCTGTTTTTTGGTAGCAACAATGGACAACAACAAGGCTTAATAAGGCATATAAGATTCTGCATGAAGCACACAAGGAGGTTGGTCTTGGTTTGTGTTATTTTGGCATGTTTATATGTAAACAATAAAGTTATAATAGGGATGATTTGGAATTGATCAAATAACTTGGATGGTTCTTGTAGTTTTGTAACCCTTTAAAGGCTAATCTTGAAATATCAAGAGAAAACTCCTAATATTTAGAATTTATTCCAATTAAAATTTGTATCGAAAGTTATCTTTGAATTCTAAACACATGAATGATGAATGAAGTTGAATTTTGAGAAAGGTCTTGAATAATGCTTCTTTGTAATTTGGATGAAATTGAATCAAACTTGAATAGTGAACATTGAATTAGAACTTCATCCTTGAATGGACTTGAGACTTCTTGAATGAATTTTGAATGATGAATGAACATCTCGTATTTGCTTCTAGAATTCCAAACAAATTACATGAATTGATCTTCAAAATTGAGCAAACTTGAATCATGAGAAATTAATTCTTTTGTATATCTTGAATCCAAAAGAAAATTTAAATGGATGAATTGCGCCTCGCATATTTGAATCGATTTAAAATGAAAAAGAATCATTCAAATTTATACTCAAATCTTCTTCTTTAAAACCCATATCGTCAATTCGTGGTAACTTGCAATACGAGCCAATAATACAAATCGTGTCTTTAAGAGATTTAATTAACAACCCACCTTAATCAAATGATCGCTAATGTTCAATTGAAAATGACTTGAAGCAGGTGAAAAGAAATCAATGGATTATTGAACTAGAACTCTAGTTTCATGAATTATCCCAATATAAGAATCAAACGCCCTTTGAGAAAACGTTTGTGGCATAAATTGAACCAAGCACAATTTGACCTCGATCTTTGAAGTAATCTCATAGACAATGCTATTTTTGATACTTCGCAAAAAGAATCGCCTCAGGACGTTCAAAATTGAAGAAGTTATGATCGTTTGAACTTGATCTTACAAAAGGTTGACTTTTGGGTAGAAGTGCTTTAAATCGTCTCACATAGCCTGATCTTTTTTTGCATTACAAGACACATTGAAGCACATGTGAACCAGTGATGATGAAATCTTATCTGCGCTCTGAGGAATTTGTGGAGAAGCTTGAGACCACTTGTCAAACAAGGCGTGTAAATAAACACACGATCCTATGGAGTTCCAAAAGACATCTTTGACCAAAATGAGATTGACCGTTGCTTGAGACTATATGCTCTGAGATTAGAGGTTGTACCTTGATGAATCAATCTTCGGGAATCCACAATCAATCATACTTATGGCTTGGGAGACTCAAAACCCTAATTGAGAAGCGACGTCTGATGCTCTTGATTCAGACCTGTCTCTGTACATGAAACAAAAGAGAACACGAACATACACCTTTGTATTCGATTAGAAGTTAGTGATACATAGACTAAAAATGTTCAAAACACTTGAAAATCTCTGCATAGTCAATGCTCGAAGGTAAGAGGTTAAAACCAACCGTATTTCGTGACCTTGACTTTTGTATAAAATGCAAAATGAAAATGGGATCTTAGCTCAAAAATTGGGGTATGACAACGGGCCATGTCAGAGGACACGGGCACCCGTGTCAGAGGACATGGGCACCCGTGTCAGCGTCTTTGATCCTACCTTCGCATGCATATGCTCCAGTTGACATGACACAGTTCGTGTCATGTGACACGAGCACTCGTGCCGCCTTCTGTCTTCAACTTCTTTTCCTTCTTCACTTGACATGACCCGTCTCAGGGCCCCTGCAACTTCATGTTTTGCTTCGCATTTGCACAAATCCTCTAGATATTTTTACCTGCACCTGAAATTATGAACACCTACCAAACCAAACCATCAAAATCATCTAAAAGACATGAAATTAAAATAAAAGCAACACAAAGATACATTTGTGAAATGTAACATAACTTAAACAAAATGAATAAAAGACAAACCAAAGTGTCATATATTTGATGAACTTATACCGAATAAGTGACGGAAATAAAGTAGAAATAGTGACCAATCACAACCCCAAACTTAGCTCATTGCTTGTTCTCAAGTAATGTAGACGACCACAAAAAAGTCACCCCAGAGTTCCTTCTTACCACAATACAATCGATGTTCTTCGCAACTTGCTTTCCACCTTCGTGGTCAAGATTCTAGGGTCACTGATCCGAACTTTCCGCTACACTTCCACATCAGAATAGTTTTTCACCTACAAGCTTTTCCACACTTCTCACCAAATCTCTCGGGGTTAAAGTGCCTTGCACTCAAAATTCAATGTATGCAATATTGACTCTTAACTTTGAATAAACTTTACCTTCACTACACAAACATATTTCACACTCGTTTGAAGGTCTTTGGGACGTAACGGGGCTTGGGTATAGTGGGATAAACAAAGAAAATGGATAAACAAAGGGTTTTTGGCTCGGCATTTGTGTTGTTTTTCTGTTCTTTGTGCTCAACTTATTACAATGGGATTTTACTTAACCTCAACACTTTTGCTATTTGCTTCACTTAGCTTTTGCTTTGAGTGTTTCACTGGTACTAGAGTTTTTTTTTGCCGGGGCAAGTATTTCTTTATGAGTTATCCTCCTTTTTTTCCTAGAGACATTCACGTGTCTCCATTTTTTTTCTCAATTTTTTTCATACTTTCCCTCTTCTATACATATGATCACCCCAAACTTAGAACTTTGCACAATTTCAAAATTCATAACACTTATGCCGAGCAAGGGTAGGAAGTGTTTTGGCCTTGGGTTAACATATATGGTTATCACAAACAAATGGATAAGGCTCAAATGTGGTTAACAAAGGATAAAAATAACAATATGGGATGGCTATAAAGGCTCAGGGTTAAAAAAAACAACGTGCCTCAGTGTTTGTTATCATGTTGTGTTGTTCGAGTAGAATACACATAAAATCAGAGTGATAAAGTCATACCTGAATGAACTCTCATGATGATATTCTTGTGTTTATCTTTATGTATGGTCACCATTTTAGATAATCTTACAGGTTCCAAAGAACTCCTCATGTGATGTGGCTTCTTTTCCGACTCGGGTATACCATAATACCATCTCAGTCTAGTTTCACCAAATTGCATCCAACACTACTCGTTCTTCAGCTATATCAACTTCCCGGGGTGCCTGAGGGGCAAGTCTGGGTTGCATCTTTCATCTACTTAGCTACTCGTCTGTCCTTCATTAGGCAAAAATACAATCAATCTGCAACACATCAGTGACAAAACAAACAACACAAATAAATTGAAAATAAATTGAAAATATTAAAACAGAATAAAAACTCAAATAAAAACAATAAAAACAATAAAAACAAACAATAAAAACCCTCCCCTACTTGAACTAAACATTGTCCCCAATATTTTTGTCCAAGAGACAAGGGGACTCATAAAACATCACTGCGGAGGAGGAGGAAATTGCAACATCAAGTGTTGCATCATCCGGTGCATCTCACTATACATTTCCCCTTGATGGTTTAGCTCATTTCCTTGACGGACCTGTTCGACTCCTTGGCGCGTTTGCTCAGCACAGATGTCGCCAAACTCTGTTTGTAGCCGAAACCACTCTTCTTGGGTGAAAGATGAGGACCTTCCACCGGATTTGGTAGGCATCTCCGGGGAATTACCCACTGGTTCTTGCTCTCTAGAATCTTCATCCATTTGGTCCTCATCAGCTTGATTATCCTTATTATATTCTTCCTGATCTTCCTCACCATCACTCATATACCCCCAAATCCAATTCGCGCGATCAGAAATTGCAACTCTTACAGGGCCAGGGAATGTGAGAATAACCATTTTTGAACTGATTAAACCAAAATTTATTCCCTGTATCTGAATCATGCCATGATTGACAAGGGCAGTCATATATAGCTTAGACTTACTTGCAATTGATGCATCATTCAATGCAATAGGATCATAACCAAAATTCCTGGCTATCTGGGTAATCATACCTCCTACAGAAATACCACCAGTTGCTGCTCGACCCACTTTACCTAAATAGTTTGCAAGCAGCTACATTTACCTGGCTCGTAGTGGCCATGGCATGCAGTAAAGAGAGTTCTGGATGAGTTGCTATCTTCGTACTATTACCTCTGCCAAACAAAGAATAGGCTAAGCACTTTTGAGCATACCTGAAACAATGGCTTTTTATACAACATGCATTAGCGCCTTTAGAAACAATACCCACCTGAGCCTGTGATATCCCTCCAGAATCGGCTTGCTCTAAATGTTTCTAGAATAGCCCCGGGTCCATAAATGGGTAGTCGTAGGATCCCACCCAATTCCTCCACCGTTAGCTGATGGT